GTCAGTTCCGCGGCCGCCATTTTGAATCAGGGCGGGAAGCCACAATGACTGTTAGTCACCGATTTACTCTGCGCCCCCCCCCGGCGACAGGGCAACGCGAGCCTCCTCCACAGACACACGGAGCGGGGGGGCAAAAGGGTGTCCCCACCACATACAGGAGAAGGAACCATTTTCCCCATGTCACCTCCCTCCCCAGAGCTAGAAGGTCCTTCCCTGCCTTAGAGGCGGCCACCCTCCCCCAGAGGCATGGCCTCTGTAGGGCAGCCGGGTGGTGAAGATCGGGCTCCTCCCAGCACCCCTCCTCAGACAGCAGCGGTCCTGTCCCTTGGCAGGTCCTCCCACTGTGTGGTAACCGAAACGTCTACACTTTCCCGCTCTGGTACTACTAGCCCCCCCCCGCCTCAGAGATGTCTGCCCTGGTAGTCATGGGGGAACTAGTTTTAGTTAGTTTAATTAGTTTTGGATGGGCCGTGGTTGTTGCTTTCCACCACTAGGACAAACGATCAGAGGCAAAACATCTGCCACTGGGGCTCCCACGTGTAACTGACAAGCTGAATGACTGCAGCAGTGGAACTAATTGGCAGGAACTAACACTCTAGAAACTCCCTGCAGAAACTACTGGAAACGCTACCCTCTGGAGCTTATAAAAATCAAGCATGCACATGCTCCCTTACATTTTCACTAATTAGCACCTCACCTCCTAGAAGAGGTGCCTAGACAAACCTATGACTCCCTTGTGAGATACGAAGGGTATTTACCTCCCATTTGTAAATTGGGACGTACAGGTCAAGTTACTTGCTCAAGGCCACACAGCAATCAATGGCAGACCCATGTCTCCAATCACACTACTTCCCCTGGTTTAATTGCAAGGTATTTGATTGGGAACTGACAGCATTTTTAGGCAAGGTCCATCCATCCACTTTTCCCAGTCAGCCAATCCCAGGAAGTGCTCTGTAGTATTTATGATTATAATAAAAATTGGGAGGGGGGAAAGATGATGCAGAACATTAGTTCTGTGTAGGCTAAAGAATGTGACCTGTAGGATGAGCCAAGTTGATTTGGCTATCACTGCATTCTAGGTAGCATGGTTTATATGACTAGACTATGCAAACAAAGTGGGGGCTTTTTAACTATAGCTTTTAAGCTAAACAGTTATACAGAATAGCCTCCATGGATACACTCCACAAAGGGCTTGAACATTACAATGCTGAGCATCACAGCATCTAAGGCCCCAAGAAAATCATGGGAACACCGTGATCCACAAAACCAAGTTAGGTCCCTATACAATGAATTGTCTCTCTCTGGCCCAACAAAGAATCTACTATGGATAAATACTTGAATATTAACAGAGCACACAAGTCAAGAGTGACTACATCAATGGTTAGGGCATCCACCTCAGAGATGGGAGACCCAGGGTCCAGTCCCCATGCTCAATCGCTCGTTCTTTATCCACTGTGGAACTGCTTCAACATGAGGAAGACTGAGGGACCCCCACAACTATCCCAAAGCTCAGTGGTGGGAGTACTCAGGTCCGAGATCCCTGTTCAAATACTCTCTCCCCCTGCAATAGAGGAGGGAATTGAATCTGGGTCTCCCACATCTCAGCTGAGTGCTCTAACCACTGAACTAAGAGTTATAAAGGTGGGCATCACCAATATCACCTTCTCCAGTGGCCACATTTTGAATGGGACCCAGTCTGCTAGGCAGCCTCAAGCATGCCTACTAGATCAAGTTGCACAAACCACTCAGGCCAGCAAACACCCCCATCTTTCCCAGGTTTGTGAATCACTCTGGGGAATAGGCTGGGAGACAGGCATCTGGACATTCGGGGAGCACGGGAGGGGACAGCATGAATGCCCAAAGGCAGAAACATAAGCACCTACATGGTTTGCCAAGAGTTTTGTAGATGTGGAGCCGATACTGGAACTTGGGCACCCTAGTCTAGGGTTTAGGTGCTTAGGCATTGTTGTGGACTTGGGCCCTTGTCAATAAGAATCTTAACTTAATGCTCTGGTTAAGCCTCTAGTGCCATCTGTGGCACATCACCTAGTCTATATAATAACTGTTTACTATCTTCTAATTTCAGTTGGGAAAAGTATATGTCTACTTACCAGCATTTCACACCCAACAGAAAGAGTGGTCAGCTAACTTAACATAATCCTCTCGCCCCACATAGTCAATCCTGGCAGGTCTTTGTTATTGGCAGATTTTGACAAGTTAATTTGTATCAAGTAAGACAAACCTCATCTTCCCTACTTTATTTTACTGCTTACGTGAATTCATCATTAAGATTTCAGCATCAGAACATCCACTCTCTGCTGCTGACCTGCCAACTGAATAATTTAAAGCCAGAGTTGAGTGTTTACTTAAGATGTATGAAATCTTAAAAATTGATGCCCGTCTGGTCCTTAAATATCCCAAGACACATTGCATAAGAGTTAGTTGGCCTTGGTGTCCTGCTTATTTATTCTCTTTTGTTCAGCATGCCATGAAAGTTTTTTGCCTGACTGCTGCCTTCCTATCCCATCCCAGAGGTGGCTGTATATTGACAGTGTTGTAGGTAGTCATGAAACACTTCAATATTTCATTACTCCTACAGTGAAAAACCTAACATAAGATCATTTCTATACATGGATCATTTGCAAAGATACGCTACCCACACCCTTTGTTCCTCTTAAGCCAGGAGCCACCTGGATACCAAAAGCTGTAGACCCATAAAAAGATGGCAGTGTCAGATAAATAAGGGGAAATTGTTACAAAAGTTTTTTAAAACATTCAAGAACACAGAGCATAAATTAAGACTACCTAGTGAAATTCTGAGTTTCACAACAGCTGATTCTTACGGAAAGATGACTCGTGCCATTAAATGAAAGGCTTTATTACCATGTATAACCATCAATGCAGCAACAAGTGTCCCATCTAGGAAGCTAAGCTATCCACTTCGAACACAAATTCTAGTTTTGATATTTTCATTTGCTCACAAAGTAAAAGTAAGCACTATCCATGCCTAATGTAATGTACACAATGTTGATGTCCGGAGGGCAGTCTTCAGCTTGGTCTACAAGTTAGGTTGACATAATTAACTCAGTCAGGAGTGTGAAAAAGCCACCACCCCAATTGACATAGCTATGCCAACATAGCCCATAGGATAGATGCAGCTATGTCAAGGCAAAACTACTTCTGTCAATGTAGACAATTTTGTTTGGGAAAATGATGTTCCTACACTGACAGAAAAACCCTTTCCATGGGCATAGTGTCCAGCTACACTATGGTGTTGTGCCAACATAGCTACACCTGCACAGTCTCCAACGTAAACATGGTTTTATACCCCTGATCACTACAAATTCAAGTGTCCGAGTCTGACATGGAACCCGCTATCCCACTAAAAAGCCAGATCTCTTGCCAACATTCACATTTGGACATTCAGTTTCTACAACATACTGGACATACCACTAGAGAATATCTGCAATCTCTTCTAGCAGAAATCTTTTCAAAGGCAGGCCAAAGGTTTAGATGTTATTAGCCACAACTTAAGTGAATCATAAGTATAATTCATGGTGGTGACTTTAATGCTCCAGGCTGGGTGTATAAAGAGCTCACTGGACTGCACTACTGCTGTTTAACCCCCTACTAGTTAGTATAGGCTCCAGTCAGCTCTGACTACAGCTACCAGGGAGAATCCCCTTTCCTCCCAGAATCACCTTCGGGCATTATTAGGTCACAAGGGGAAATTCCTACAGCAGCAATCAGAAGATGGGGGGAGTGAGGGCCTCCCACATAGCAGCATGGGGGTTAGGATGGGAGAAGAAGCAACTTCACTATCTGGGATGATGGCAGAAGGGAGAGAAGAGCCCAAGACAGCACATGGAAAGGGGGGGAATAGGATGCTGCCTGGAAACTAGGATGGGAGTTTTGGTACCTGAGCTGCAGGGCCGAAGGCATCCTCCTCCTGGTCCCCAAAGAGGGCCCTCCGCAGCCGCTCCAGGTGCTCCCTCAGGGTGACCCGCTGGTGGAAGGAAAAGGCGGGGTGCAGAGAGGCCATAGTGAACAGCAACAGTAGCTCCTCCTGCGCCCCGAAGCCCAGGCTCTCAACAGGGAGGGCCTGGCCGTTTTCTCCAGGCCCTTCCATGTCCTCCTCGGGCCCGTCCTCTTCCCGCACGCGAGCCCCGCAGCTCTTCAGGACAGAGTCCACCTGGGGCAGCAGGCAGTGGAGGCGGGCAGCGGCCTCTCGGTTCTCGGAGCCCAGCAGCGCCAGGTAGACGATGAGCTTGGAGCGCACGGCCGGGTCTCGGAAGTCGCCCAGCTGCCCGGGGTCGCTGAGCCCGTTGGCCTTGGCCTCGGCGTCGCGCAGGCAGTGGTAGTCCTTGCGGGCCAAGTCCTCCAGGCAGGAGCCCAGGAAGCGCAGCTCCAGCGGGTTGCACAAGTCCAGCAGCCCCACCATGAACTCCAGCCGCTGCGCCGAGCCCAGCACTAGGCCGAACCACTCGTACACCGTCTCCTTGTCCGTGCGGGAGGCCGCCCCGCCCGCGGCAGGAGCCGGCGGCGGCCCAGGTCCCGGGCCCAAGCCAGGCAGCTGGCTGGGCCGCTCCCGCCCACACCCCGCCGACGCCCCGCCTCGGGGAGGCGGCCGGGGCACCTGCTGCAGCTGGAGGTGACAGTCCCGGCTGCTGGGCTCCTTCAGCCCCATCCCCGCCGCCTCCTCCGCCCGGTGGCTCGTCTGTTTCAGCGGCAGCTTCATCTTCAGCATCCTCAGCCCGGAGGGGCCTCGAGCATCCGAGAGGCCCCGGCGGCGGCGGGCGAGGCTCAGCGGCTGGCGCGCCCGGAGGAGCCGCTCATGCTGCTGCTGCCCTGGCCGCGCAGGGGACGGTTCTGCCGCCAGCGGCGGCTCCGGGGCGGATCGTGTCGGTTCCCGGCGCGCCCCCGCCTCAGTGCGTGCGCGGTGCGAGGCCCGGACGCTGTTCTCTCGGCCACTCGCCGGCGCGGACTGAACACGGGCTGGAGGCTGGAGGGGCGGGGAGAAGAGCGGAACGTCCCGTATCCGCCTATCAGCGGGCTGCTTGGTGGCCTGCCGCTTACGTCAGTCCGCTCCTTTCTGCGACCTCCCCCGCTCGGATTCCGCTGGGTCCTAAAGTTGAAAGAGCCCGGGGAAGGGTCTTGCTGCAGCCAGGTGGTGGGGCACCCAGGCGGGTCACACCGCTGCTCCAGCCCCGTCCCTGCTGCACGCAGGGGTGTGTTACAGAACAGAGCGTGAAACCCCAGCCGTAGCCAGGAAGCCTGTTCCTGGCATGCAATAACCCCAGGCTGCCTGGAGAGAGGAGCCTCAGAAGTGTGCCTTTGGGGAACAGCGCTCCTGGCCTCAATTGCGGGCTGTGTCCGTGGTTTTTCACGCTGAACCGCTCTGCTTCATGCCACCCATCTGTAAATGGGAGTAATAACAATCAACTATCATATTTCAGCATCGCGGCTGTTCCACCGTGGTTCAATATGCTTTGGGCCATAGGAGTGTGTGAGAACGGCTCTCGAGGGCAGGGCACTCACCTGAGTGCGGGACACCTACCGTCAAATCCCTTCTCAGGAGGCAGAGGGGGAAACTGAACTCGCATCTCCTGCATCCCAGGTGAGTGAATACCCTAACCCCTGGGCTAAGGTCTAAACTATAAGGGAGGCCTAAGCCCTGCCTTTCTCCCCCAAACATGACTTTGAAAAACAATTTAGGCACCTAGGCCCAGATCCCCTAAGGTAATTAAGCACATTGATTTCAACAGGAGTTAGGAGCTGAAATACTGTTGAGGAGCTGGGCCTTAACTCCTAGAGAGGGGTCATGGCTGAGAATCCCAAGCAGTGCTAGGCTCCCTAAGAGGGGTGGGAGACAGAGGTCACATCGTTCTTCTCAGCATTTCCTATTGACTAGCTTATGTGGCTTCCCCCTCAGCTTGCTGGCTTTTGTGGATCCCATTTTTAAATGCCCAACTCGCCCTAAGTATTGTTTAGATAGCCGAAGCATCAGACTCAGGGCTATGGTTTCCATTGCGTGGTAAGGTACCTAAAAGTTAAGCACTGCCGCTCTGAGGGTTGTAACACATTAGTCCCTCTGTGAATCTAACCGTTATTGCCTCAGGTACTCCTACTGGTAGAAGCACCAGAAAATAGACAAGGAGATGATGCATTGGTACAACTAATATCCTGGCCTGCACCTGCATTTAATTACTCATTCTGCAGACTGAGCAGCACAGCTTGAAAGCAGTGGAGGAGAGTAGCTTTTAGGAAGCTGGTTACACTACTGTTTGATCTTCAGCATGCCTTGTAAACCATTTCGTTTTTAAATAAAAGTTGAGCATTTGTTAAGGAAATCCAAAGAGCTGCTTTGTGATTCTTCAATACACACCTGCTGCTCAGAGGCATTAGTTAATTGATGCATAATCATTTGTTTTAAAACCCTATGATATCTTTGTTTGAAAGACTCCGTAGAAGTGCAAAGTATTATTATAATGCTCAATAAACAACATGACTATTCTGTGGCACAAAATACAAATTGTGTATTCTTGTGGAGGTCTTATATCGTGGTTGGATATAATCCAATCACCTTGGCATTGAAATGGGCAAAAACATACAGCTTCTATCTGCAGCTATAGTAAGGCTGAATAACAGTAATAGGGCTGAATAACTAGGGGAAAATTAATCTCTCAGAGGGCCTGTCTACACATGAAATTATTCCTGATTAGCTATTCCTGATTAGCTCCATGTGTGGAAGCTCTTATTCCACAAAAAGATTCTTGGGCCCACTTGGAGTTTCACACTGAGTTAGTGGGGCTCTACCAGGCACAGGAGTTCATCTGCATGGAGTAGTTTAAAGGATTGGGGTATGAACTTTTATCCATTCAAAGAACAGAAAATTGCTAGGTTCAGAGCACAGTTGTTTATATCCTTTATAAATGAATCATAGCTAAGGTAATTACATCTATTACTTATTAAAAATGCCTAATCCTTTTTTAAAAATCTTACTCCGCTCTTGGCCTTAATGTCATGTGGGGATGAGTTCTAATGGCAAGTTATTTTATATTTTATACTACAGTATAAAATCAGGTTAAAAAACCGGAAGAATATGCTTTAAATAAACAAGGAAAATCAGACTAAAATAAGGCCATTGTATTATTCCCATCTGTTGTTCCCAAATATTATAATTCAGTGTTTTTATGTAAGATCAGGCAGTACTTTGAGTTTTCTAAAACAGTGGTTCTCAACCTTTTTTTGGCTCTGGACCTATTTGTAAATGTTTATGGCCTGTCACGACCTAGTAAATATTCTGGGGGTGGAGGCCCTGTGGCAGAGCCATAACTAGACATTTTAGCACCTGGGGCAAGCAAGCATTATTTGCGCCCTGTACCAGAGGCAACACATGGGGAGGCATGGGGGGTCATGTGCCCCCCCTCTGATTTTTTTGATTGTGACCCCCCCCACAACCCAGACAGGATGGGTGGCCTGCTGAGGTGAGTCAGGGGTGGTGGTGGTGTTCCTCCCTGCTGCCCCCCTGGCCCTGCCCTCGGTCAGATCCTGCCCTGTGGGGGGATTGGGTCCTGCCTGGCACTCACCCCCCAGTGGCAATTCCTGTGCTGTGGGGCTGGCTGGGCTTTGCTCTCCACTCCGGGCATTGCAAACTCAAGGGTTGCAGCGCTACTCGGGTTTGGCCCCGCACTCCTGATTAGACCAAATATATGTGGGTGAAGTTGTGATCTGGCTCATGGAGTTGCAGTGCCACTCACTCAAATTTGGTCTACCCAAACTCCTGTCATCATAACGGCTGGGCCAAACCTGAGTGGAGCTGGCTGGGACCCCAGCTGTTGCAGTGCCTGGAGAAGGAACTGTGGGACAGGAGCTGCCATGAAACATTCTGGCAACCCAATTTTGAGTCCCGACCCATGGGTTGATTAACCCTGGTCTAAAACACATAATGGCTTCTGCTTCTGTTTCCACATACTGGTGGTAAAACTGGTGTGAGAACAAAATTAAATCCTTGACTTACAAAACAATATAATGAAAAATAAAATATATTTTAATTGGAAGGATGCAAAACAGCACCCTCAAACTGCTTATAATTACAAAGTATACAATGCTAATAGTAAAAAGGCTTATTTATCCTTGCAGAAGCTAATCCTGCAATAATGAAAGAACCTATTTATTAAACACCTAAGTAAATGTCATGCAAATTACAGTAATTTTATAAATATCATTCAGACTTGCCACAGAATATTTGTTCAGAGCTGAGTGTTTGTTATAAGCTAAAGTATCTCTCTTTTATATTTACTCGGCAAGTAGGTTCATTTCACTTTATAAAAAAACAAACTTTTGTATTCTGTATAGTCAAGGATTCATCCTGGCAACTTTGGCCCATTCCAGTGGTAAAAAGTGGACTTAATGCTAACCTAAGTGGCCAGGTGAAGAGTTCCCATTACATAGGGGAATACTCCAGTGGCAGAGCTGGTATCAGCAGCTCTATGGCAGCCATCCTTGCCGCTGCTCCTGATATAAGGGATGTAGCAGAGAAGCGGAAATGAACAGTGCACTGCGGTATGATCTCTTGGTGGAAGAACAGCTCTTTGACTGGTTCCAGGATCTGGGCGTTGAGCAGGGTTTAAAGGTGGTATATCCAGTAGGTGCTTTATCCCTCTCCCTCTTAGGTCCTACATTGATAAGAGCTTGGCCAGAGCCAGAGATTGGGCCCAACAATTATATTCTTTAGTCAATCCAGGTACCATAACACTATGGTAATTTCCTTATGTTGTCATTGTGAAATCATTGTTCTGGAATTTTATTAGATCACTTGAAAATGATGTGATCATTCATATACAATATAGTGTTTACATTTTTGGGTCTCATATATTCAGTGTGATGATTTTAAAAAAATGACAGAGAATAGCATGATGTGCCAAATTAGGAATAATAATGCAAAAACGGGGCCTGAACTCACAGCCTAATAACTTCAGTGGGTGTTTTGCCTGAGTGAAAACTGCAGGATCAGGCCCACATTTATATAACTAGTAGAAATAGGTACTTTAGTATAGAAATAAATCTTTGGTACTTCAATAATTAATAAGATACAATACAAACCTAACACATGACAATTCCAAACACATAACAATTTGATGGGAAAAGTAGTAAAACACTTTTTTGGGAGGGTGGAGGGGGTGAAGAGAAGATTCACCCAGAACTGACCCATTCATAAATGGACTATACTACTGTATATGATAAACTGCATATATACATGGTGGACTGGATGGCTGGTAATTAGTAATTTAGGGTATGTCTACACAGCCTGTGGCAATGAGCCTCCCAGCCCAGGTTCACAGAGTTGAACTAGTGGGGCTTGCGCTAACGCTCTAAAAAGAGATGTGTAGACAGCACTTGGAAGCTGTGGCTTGAGCACTGAAGCATAGGGAGGGGGATGGGCTTCAGAGCCTGAGCGCCAGCCCAAGCTGAGACTTCCAAACTACTTTTAGAGTGGTAGTGTGAGCCCTGCTAGTCTGAGTCTGTCGACCTGGGCCAGGCAGCTCACTGCTATATGCTATTTAGACGTACCCATCGTCCCTGATTTAGGAAAGCACTTAAGCATGTGTTTAAATCCATCCCTATTCAGGACAGAACTCAAACATACTTAACTTTAAACACGCTTACATTCCACTGATTACCCCAGCCTCTCTTAGTCCAGGAGTATCCCAAATTGTTTGTTATTGTGTTCTGTTTTAACTTGTAGCACTTAAGGAAAAGCAGACCAACCACAGAAATGGAAAAAGAGAGAAAAAAAACCAAATTTGAGAAAGAGGAAAAGGAAGAGAATAAGAAAATGAAACAGTATAAAGGAGATTGAAAGTCAGTGTAAGAAGGGGAATGTGAAAATATTCCCGTGGCTCAGGGAGAGAGAACAGGAACAAAATGGGAAGGCACAGGCATAGGGAAACAGAAATGAAACTGAAGTGTCTGAGAGAAACGTGAAATGAAAGTGAAACTCAGAGATAGCAGGAAAAAGAAAACAGAGAAAGAAAAAAAGAAGGTATACTGATGAGTCTGCAGTAACAACACAAGAGGCTATTACAAAATTTGACTCAGCAGTGACAATGGTTCCAGCTTCCCTTGAGTAGTCTGTTTATTATTTAAAAAATCTGATTGTCCTTAAAGCTGGAAAATAAATTTTAACACGCAGTATATACCCACTGAAAACAAATGCTGATCCCGATGAAGTAAGACAAAACTTCTATATGCTTCAGAGCAGGACCAGGATTTAGCTCACTCTATCTAGCAAAGTAGATATGCACCAGATAATTTATTGTGCAACTCATACAGTCTCTGGCCTTTAATAGTAATAGTTGGTGTGGGGGATGACAAGGTAGAGCAGTGAGTTAGTATAATAGCCTTTCATCTCTGGAAACTGGGGCCAATAATCAGATAGGAAACACAGGGTTGGAATGGAGAGCGGTGAACAGTGGGACTGCAAAGATCTGTACTGGGACCTGTGCTGTTCAACATATTCCTTAATGATTTGGAAAAGAGGGTGACCAGTGAAGTGGCAAACTTTGCAGGCAATACAAAATTTTTCAAGATAATTAAGTCCAAAAAGCTGACTGCGAGGCATTACAGAGGGATCTCACAAAACTGGATGACTGGGCAACAAAATGGCAGATGAAATTCAAAGTTGAAATTCAAGTGCAAAGTAATGCACATTGGAAAATATAATCCCATCTATACATATACCATGATGGGGGTCTAAATTAGCTATTACACACAAAAAAGAGATCTTGGAGTCACATGGATAGTTCTCTGAAAACTTCTGTTCATTGTACAGCAGCAGTCAAAAAGACACAAAATGTTAGGAACTATTAGTAAAGGGTCACAAAATAAGACACAACATATTATAATGCCATTGTATAAATCCATGATACACCCACACCTTGAGTACGTGTCTAGTTATGGTCATCCCATCTCACAAAGGATATAGGGTAACTGGAAAAAGGTTCAGAGAAGGACTTCCATATGAGGAGAGACTAAAAAGATTAGGCCTGCTCATCTTAGAAAAGAGACAACTAAAGGGGGATGTGCTAGAATTCTAAAGTCATGAATGGTGTGGAAAAAGTGAATAGAGATGTATTATGTTTTCACACAATACAAAAGCCAGAGGTCACCTGGTGAAATGAATAGACAGCAGGTTAAATACCAACAAGAAGTAGTAGTTTTTCACACAACACACAACTAATCTGTAGAACTCATTGCCATGGGATGTTGTGATGGCCAAAAGTATAATGGGTTCAAAAAATAACTGGATAAGTTCATGGAGGAAAGATCCATCAATGGCTATTAGCCAAGATGGTCAGGGATGCAACCGTAAGCTCGGTGCAATCCTAAATCTCTGAATGCCAGAAGTGGAAGACAGGGTTGGATCACTCCATAATTCCCTGTTCTGCACACTCCCTCTGAAGCTTTGGTATGGGCCACTGTTGGAGACAGGATACTGATCAAGATGGACCTTAGTCTGAGCCAGTATGGCAGCTATTATGTTTTTATGTCTGCCCAAGCTGCACATTATGCAGGAACTGAAAGGGTGCAAAGGTGCCTATAATCCTCCTCCCAATCTGGTGGACCTGCTCAGCTCCAATGCAATATAGAGCAGCCTCATGGATACTCTAAATTCTGTCTTCGTGTTCATGGAACCTAGGGGCTAGTCTTATAGCAAGAGATATCTGAGTGCATCAGGGCGCCAGTAAATCTGGTCCATAAGGAGATGTGAGACTAGACTTCAGTGGTGGAGGAACCCTGATGGGGTTTCTGTTGGTGAGATTTAGTACATTTTTCTTATATTTATATCATTCCAAGGGTATTATGATCTGGGAATAATTGACTAGGTCTGTTTATCAGAAGTGTTTTTTAAGAGATTATAAAGGATATGCAGAGCTTGAGATGGATGCACTTTTGTTGCAGAGTAGGAAACAAATAGTGAGTCAGGGAGCTTTATTTTTTTCCTTTTATAGCTTTAAAAAAAAATCACTTTCCTTCTTAAAACCAGGTTCAAGAACTGATGTGTTAGACTCCCTTACAACACAGACTGCCTCACTCCCAGTGAGATGGACCACTTACCTGCTCTCTACTACTGTAAGTTGGTGTCACACGCCAAGGATCTAGAAGATCTGATGTTAAAGTGCGCTACAGTGTTGCCAACTCATGATTTATCATGTGTCTTGTGATATTTGATGTTGTTCTTAAAGCCACAGCTCCCAGAGAAAAGAGATTAAATGAGATTGTTGGCTTTTGTTTTTTAAAACAAAAAGTAGCCCTTAGGTTTGCAGAGAAAAGCCCTAAAACATAACCCAACTGTACCCTAAAATGCTCAGAAACGATAAAGCAAATTAAAAGAATCCCTTTTGTAAATCTCATGGTTTTTAGACCAATCTCATAATTTTGGGATACTAGCTAATGATTTTTGAATGCTTGAGGTTGGCAGTACTGCAGTAGTTTAGGTGGGAGTAAGGTACTCTGAGCGTATGAAGGAATCATCAGTAGAAGAGTGTAATTTACACATCGCCTCTAAAATTGGACTTTCAGGTCAAAAGCAAGACAACTGACTAATTGTTGTGGATGTTTCATTGTCCGTATTCCCAGAATACATGATTTATAGTATAACTAGAGAGAAAGAGAGCGGGGAGAGAGAAATGTTTTGAGTACTGGTCTGTTGCATCTTACGCTGGGGTTACGTTCCGCAGTCAGCGCGTAAAGCGAAAATCGCGTATAGTCAAAATTACATTGAGTGTAATGGCGGGCGGAATCACCCGCACTACAGAAACAGTATTAAAATTGTTATTTTTCTCTTTTTTGTTTTTGCCGACCGCGTAAAGCTGAAATCGCGCATATTAAATCCGCGTAAGATGCGACAGACCTGTATATGTCACAAGCTTCTCCTCATCCTATGTTTACAGAATGGCTGGCAAATCCCCTCAGAATAAATCTCTTGACTAATTTCTGTCAGGATGCCCTTTAAATGTATGGCAAGATCTCTGAAGTGGTAAGCTCCCTTTGTTTTGACAGTATTAAAAGTTTTTTTCCCAATACCAAATAGGGATAATGCAGAGTCACATCCTGTTAATGTGTGTGCAGCAAGAAGTATGTTGCAGAAGTTAGGAGTGAGCGTGTCATAAATTGCATGCACGGGTGTGAAGTGACGCTAGTCAGTTGTGTTGGTAATGGTGCCTGTTTCTATCCGCATGTTATCTGTGTATTCCCTGTTTGGAAAGTAATGAACAGCAAACACAAAAACATCTGTATCAAGTGACCTAGTTACTATGGTTCCTTTGACACCAAAAGCCATATTGGCACACAGCATGCAGAAACATTCTTGTGTCTGTTTCTCCTTGAGTACTGTATAAAAGTCTTGGGCTTCTTCAACACCTCTATTGGTGATGGATTTTGCTACTTCACAATTGGAAAAGCCTCCAGCAAGGAGTGTTTGTGTTGGGTGTGCTCTTACATTCTCAGGTGCATTTTGAGCCATATATCCACAGAAGAATTTTACAAGTGACTGCTTGTTGGATGCCATGTTTAGAAACTTTTTCCATGGAGACACAGGGTGTCCACCAATCACCTGGTATTTCTTTCATCCAAACTTAGATCCTGTCCAGCACTGTTTTTCTACGGTTTTCACAGAGTTATTGTTGTCATATCTAGCAAAGACTTCGATTACAGAATGAACTTTGTCAAATCCTTTTAGGACCTGCCTCAGGTACTCAGCAGCCAATTCACTGAATGTGCGGAATTTGTCTCCAACCATCATTTGTGTGACATCCATGACATCACTGATTTACACTGTGGTTTCTTTGTTGCATGCTCTTAGCTCATGGATTCTTGCAGTTTAAGCTTCCAGTTGATGCGCTCACAGGCGCTGGCTTTTTCCTTTGCCCAGGGATGCTCAAACCCCGCCCCCACTCCTCTCCACCCTTTCCCCCATACACCCACCCCTGCCCCTTCCTGCCCCCGTTCTGCCCCAGGCCCCGCCCCTGCTCCGCCTCTTCCCATCCCTGCTCTGCCCCAGCCCCGCCTCTTCCTGCCCAATTCTGCCCTCTCCCCCAAGCATGCCCCATCCCCGCTCCTCCCCCTCCCTCCCAGCGTCTCCTGCATGCTGTAGAACAGCTGATCACAGCGGGCAGGAGTCACTGGAAGGGAGGGGGAGGAGTGGATCGGTGGGGCCACCCGCATAAGGGCGGGCAGGAGGCACTGTAAGGGAGGGGAGAAGCTGGCTGCCAGTGGGTGCTAAGCAGCTGCTAATTTTTTTCCATGGGTGCGCCAGCCCTGGAATCTATGGATGCCCTAGTTCACCTTCTCATTGTTGCATCAGCATGGAAGGACACAGGCACAGGTCCTATTGGGTAACTAAGACCAGTTGCCATTGAAACATCTGTATCTTGTTAAGGACTGGACTCTGTGGAAAACAGTTTCTGGACTGAAAGCTGCTGTGATTGTCCCTCCTTTGCCAAGCTTAAATTTGGTCGTCTTGGCCATATCAGCAAATGTTTTGACATCAGATTTTCTTGACTGGGCTGAAGAAGCTATGCATCTCATCAAAATCAAGTGCACCTCTCACAAATCTCTCCCTTTGTTTTTCACCAACATATGCTATTTTCTTGCACATCTGATGTTAAATGCAGTCCAGTAGATACGTTGATAGCTATCTCTGGATGTGATTCAGGTTTGTCATATTGTTGATGACATAGTTGGTAAGAGCCATAATGTGCTCTTCATTGCTCTTCAGTACGGTATCCCTCTCCTCTACTTCTTGTTAGGCCACTTCTTTCTCTCCTAGCTTTGCATATTCACCCAGAATATGTCTTGTGAGGATCCAGCTGATAAGGCTTCTTTCTTGTCAATCCTACAATCCCACTTCTGCCCTTTGATTCTTTTCCCATGTCACTCCCATTTCAAAGAGTCTGATGCACAGCAAATTCCCCAGATTCAAAGGCACTGTGTATTTCTTTAGGGAGATTTAATATATCAAGAATGTAGATTGGTATCCACCTGGCATAGTTGGGCCTGTTTGCAGTAAAGAAGCATGGCATGCTGTGTGTAGATGAAGTTTCTAATCATCCTCTTGCTCGGCAGACGCATTTAGAAGTAGTATCTGCATAACCTGGAAAAAATGATCCCAGAACTTGAATGTAGGAGGCTGGACATGCCCCCATGATTGATATTCCTCCAGTAGTGGTAGCATATGCTGAGTGACAGCATCATCATGCTTTTTAATTACATGCTGTAAGGACTCAGTGTCTTCAGACTCAAACACCTTTTGAGAGTCAGCCAACATTTGCAGACTAATGCTGGAACTACATGAGTACCTCCTCCCGGCTCACACCATTTAGCAAATGAATAACGTTTCAGAGCACTCAGAGCCTCAAATGCTAAAGTCAAGCCATATGTGATTCAACTGTGCTCTACCAGCAAGCATTTGATCTGCGGTACAAACTGCATGCACCTCAGAATCAACAAGAAGGTCTAACAATCTGGCATCTCCCCACAATTTCTCAATGCATGCAATAAAACATCACAGGGTAAAAATGTAGAGGTAAAATTCCCAAAGTATATTGTTAGCATTACCACCATGACTACCACTATTTTTCATTTTATACAAGTATGCAGACTTGTGCTAAATTAGATTTAAATTAGATCTATATGGTAGATGGTAGTATCAAAATTGCCATTTTTGTTTAGTGAGCACTGATTGAAGCCAAATATGAAGCTGTGTATTGTCATCTATAAGATTAATACTGACCTGTGCATAAGTGTCACTGAATTAAAAAGCTAGTTTTCAGAATATTTCAAAGGCTGTACTACATGACAAGCAATTACAAATTAAAAACTTCTACCAGGCAGACGAGATGGGACATTGTATGTAGAAGACATTCAGTCATTTCTACTCACTATGCAGTACAAACTATGGGCACACAAGCTATTGCTTCTGGTGCACAATCTTCAGTGTGAGACTGATCTGGTCAGCAAATAGTTTAACATTTTCAATTAATATCATAATCACTTGCAAGGCACTTTTGACAATTAAAAATGTGTGATGTGAAAACATTTCATGTAAGTATATTGCAAAATGTTGATATTTGCCATTTTTGCCACATGCTAAACAGCCTAATCATTTCTGGAAAAGAAAACCTTGCCCATGCAAAAATTAAGGTATTGAAATTAACAAACAGTAAAACTGTAGTCATAGTCATGTTGCAGTGTTTCTGGAACTGTGCAAAAAACGATGCTCTCTCATTTTGGATATTATTGTTCCACAGCAATACAGGCTTAAAGCATGACTTAACAGCTCCACATCAGACCTCATCTAAATGTACATAAAATAAGCTTTCAAATTATATATGATCTGAGTGTGTGTAGGGTGGGTACCTTACACTCTAAAATATGGCCTTTTTGGAGAATTGCTGCATTCCTATACTGACTAGAACTGGATCCAAACCAGTGATTTATAGACGAAAGTCTTCATATCCCATTACCAAATCTCTGAGACAACTGGTTCCACTTTATTTCATTATGAAGTGAAAAGAAGTATTTATCTTCACAAATTCCCACTCCGTGTTGTTAATGAGTCTATTTTAGTTGTAAAATAATAAATAAAGATTAGTAGACTAGAAGGAATGTTTGGGTGCTTAAGACAGCACTTCAGACTCATCAAGAAAATCTGACTGAATCTTCAATTATGCTAGACATAGTCACTATTCTGTATCAACACTATTAAAAAGTCAGGCTCTAAAAACCATGAGATTTCCTAAAAATCATGAAATCATATTTTTAAAATACATTTTGGCTTTTTCTTTTTTCCTTCTGATACTTTAGGGTGCACTTGCTTCATATTTTCAAGCTTTTACTTCAAACCATGAGAAGTAGGAGCTTACTTTTTTAAAATAAAGTTGAGATTCTCATGCAGTGTCATAATTTAAGCATCTGGGGTTTTAAGAAAAATACCAAATAATCCAAGAATTGCAATAAAATCATGAGACATTGCAGCATTGCTGTTTTGATGAGTTACTGGACTTTCCTTGTGTCTTCAACAGCTTATTGTAACTTCTGAAGAATATTATGGAAGATTTTTATTTTTGAGCAAAGACAAGCTGACAGAGATAATCTTTAAAGAAATCTATATAACAACTTATTTCCCAATGAAGGTATTTTAGAGAATTATCAGAAATTTAAACTGGAGGATGCACAAGAGCAGAAATAACATGAATTGGGGAACACCATTATCTCATTTAAAAATAAATTCTGCTTTAATGGAGCTTAGTGATCCAGTTAATTAATTTAAATCATTATAAGTGAGATTGTTAACACCATCTATTATGGCTGCCTGACATTTCCCATTATAAGACCCTGTTTTCAGTTGCTTGTAACTCTGTGAAGCCTTACAATTTGGGTTGAAAATTTCCATGCCAGGTTTCTGGCTCAGGTTGAATTTCTCTGAAAAATTTCAGCCAAAATGGTTCAGCCATTTCCAAGAAAAGGGGAAAATATATTGTTTTGCCTTCGTTCAAAAAAATTCTTTAGATCTTTTCGTCAAAATGCTCGTTCACCCGCAATGCTCTGGAGGAGAGACTTGAAATTTGGCAGGGGAGTGAGTGGCGTTTGTGTCAAAGTTGTAGCTTTTGCCATCCCCGTGGAAAAAGAACACCAAGTTGACCAAGTCATAAGCCTTTGAAAAAATGCAGTTTGTACATGCTCAGTCGAGACATTTTTTAATTTTAGTAATTAACATCGCCAAAGATTCTGTCCTCATTGAGCAGCCTCTCTCAGCTCCTAGTGCTGACCAGACTGTGAAAATGTCATCTCCGCAGAGCAACCGAACATGTTGCATCCCCTCACAGCTCCTATGTATGACCAGACTGTGCATGCACTATCCCTATAGAGAGACTGAGCATCCTTCCTCCAGCCCAGGTCCATGGGGCAAAGCTGGACTTTCCTTGTAGTGGCTGCTCCTAGTCCCTTTGAGCCACTGGGATGGGCTGGCACTGGAAATGAGAGCAGTAGCCTGTTTCTTCTGTGCTCTCAATGCTGCTGCTGCCGCCCAGACCGCATGGAGTAGGAAGCCATCTGATTTGAATGCAGAAGAGACAAGAGCCAGACAAGGAAGGAGGGAAAGGAGTAGATTGGAACAGGAGTCTGGTGAAACTGGGACTGGAGTTGGGGGGAGAGAAACTGGGACTGGAGTTGCATGGGGAGGATGGTTCTGGAAGCAGTGGATGGAGAGCAGCTGGACTGGTTGGACAAGAAACCTGAGCCTGGAAACTGGCAGTAGGGAGAGGCTGGGATTGTTTGGGAAAAGAGACTAGGGGGAGAGCTTGTAAGGTGGAGCTTGGGACCCAGTTGACTGGTAGTGGGAAACCCAGATTATATAAGAACTGGGCGGAGGGGGGGAGGAGGGAGCTGGGACTGGCCAGGCAAGGAGACTGGGAAAAGGAGCCCAGGAAGAGATGCAGGGGGAGACTGAGATTGGATGACATTGACAAGCCTAGGCAGGTCCGGCTCCAGGGTTTTTGCCGCCCCAAGCAGCCAAAAAAAAGTCGCAATTTGCGGCACTTCCGCGACTCTACTGCCGCCGCTTCTTCGGCGGCAATTCGGCGGCAGGTCCTTCCCGCCGAGAGGGAGTGAGGGACCCGCTGCCAAATTGCCATGGAAGAGCCGTACGTGCCGCCCCCTTCCATGTGCCGCCCCAAGCACCAGCTTGCTAGGCTGGTGCCTGGAGCCGGCCCTGAGCCCAGGAAGGGACACTGAGATTGGTAGGCAGTGCAGGGGGAGAGGAGAGACAGATGAGATAAAAAACTGGGAGATGGGAACTGGGACTGGCTGGGCAAGGAAACTAGGACAGGGTGTGGGAAGGTGGAGAGGTTGATAGTCAAGGGGAATTGAGACTTGGACAGTAAACTGGGAAGGTGAGCCTAGGACTGGCTATGCAAGGAGACTGGGCCTGGGATAAGGAGCCTGGGGCGTGGAGAGTGGGACTGGGTCAACAATGAGAATGGCATAGGACGAGGAGCCGAGAATGGAAAAGAGCCAGGACTGGGACATGGACAGATTGGAGGGGACAAAACAGAAGGGGTCAAGTTTGGGGGGAATGGGAGGAAGAGTCTGTGCCCACTAGAGCACACTCCCTCCAGAGCCTGGAAAGGAATCCAAGATTCCGGACTCTCACCCTTCATCTGCTGTTAGCAGATATCTGTGAAACCCACTGTATCCCCCCTCTAGTGCTGGACCACTACTGCAGTCAGTAGGGTTGATGTAGGTATGACCAGTGCTGCCCCCAGCTCACAGAGTCTCCATCCTCACCCTCATGAGGACCCTGGTATCCTACGGAGATGCCTCCATGGGGTTGGAATGGGAATGGAGCTTAGCCACAGAAGTGGTTGTCCCCCTCTTCCATGTGGAAGTGGGATGATCTGCTTATAATGGGTAGTGGGTACCTTCCCCACAGATAAGCAAACCCCTTATTCAGCAAAGCATTTAAGCACATGCATAACTTTACTGGAACTTAAGCATGTGCCTAAAGTTAAGCATGTGTTTAATTGCTTTACTGACTAGAGATGGACTGCTGACTGGGGCAACAATCCACTTAAAGTAGCCCAGGGCCATGTTCATTTTTTGTCTTAACTTACAAAATATCCCAGTAAATACTTCCAAATTTAGAGTTTTGAAATTATTGCATTGCATTTCAAGTGAAAACCCCCCTTTGAGAAAAAAGGGCAAAAGTATGTATCATCCACAAATCATTTAGTAACTCTAGAAATTAATGGGCTAATTATTCCTTATTTCTTCTGGCACTCATTGAAATATTGTTAATCATAATCTGGGATAGAAATACCTGTTAATAGGACTGGTCAACACATTTCCATTTAAACCATTTTTTTAAATAGAAAATTGGGGTTTCCACTGAACAATTTTTTTCGTGAAATGCCTGGTTTCCATGGAAAATTTGACTTTTCATTGAAAAAACGAACACCTGAAACCCAAAAATGTTTGGCCCAAACCAGAAATATTTCAAGTTTGGAAACATGCTTCACAGGGAGTTGTAATTTCACTGTCTCATGCACCATTCTTCAATATGGGCTTGAATTCCTCAGCCAGACTACATCTCCCATGATGCCACACAGCCAGGGACCCCCATGATGCAGCACAGCAGCTTAGCAAGCGGGGGAGACTGTGGTCCATCATATGACATATACAGTCGTCTGTCCAGTGATCTTCAGTGCTTAGAGGAGAATGGAGGCATGAGGCATCATGGCAGCATTTCGTAACTGAAATTTTCAGTTCAGCCCCAAGATTTTGGCTGAAAATTTTGGGGTTTTGAGTTTTTGCTAAAAAGCTGAAATTTTGCACAGGGAAAACAAAACAAGAACCAAACAAAAAAACATAGTCCATCCAGCTGTACGTGTTAAGTACATGCTTTTTTCCAGAACTAGGAGGCAGGTGGAGAGCTGATAAGTTTTAGCTGGCTGTGAAGAAATAAGAAGCTCAGCTAATAAATCACCAGAATAATTTTTTTAAAACCCATACATTAAATAAAATTTTTTTTGTTAAGAAAACCAAAATTAAAAAAAAATGTTTTCAAGCTTTTGCATCTGGCTCTCAATTAAGTGACCCAAGGCCTACTAACTTCAGACCTCCTGCAATTTGTCCACACGTCTCTCTGATTCACAATTTGTTTTTCTTCCCTCATTATAATCGGCATTTGCTGGACTTTAATGAGCTGCAGGTGCCTTATGATGGTCTTGGGAAAATATTCTGTTAATAATTCTGGCCAAAAGTTTCAGGTCTCATGAAAGTTAATTGGTCCCACTGGGTACTCAGCACCTTTGAAAAAAATCAGGCCACTTTTAAGGTGCCTAAATATAGATTTAGGAGCTTAACTTTAGATACCCCAATTTGAAAATGTTGGCCTCAGTTTATATCATCGCATTTTTCATTTGTTCTCTTCTCACAAAGTTAACACCTGAGGGCGTCTGCATGAAAACAAAGGGCCTGATTTTGTGCCATTGTAGTAAATAGAAATTTTATCATTGCCTTCAACAGGAGCGGGATTGGGACCAAAATCTTTGTTGTTGTAGTAAGTACATGGATCAGATGAGGAGTTTATTTGAGAAGACCACGAGGATTTCAAATTTTGTTTTCTGAATAGCCACTGCAATTACTAGACTAGGATTTGAGAGATATGGTTTCAGTACCTAGCTCCACTACAGATTTTTCCTGTGGGACCTTAAGTAAGTCACTTAATCTCTCTGCATCTCAGTTCCCCCTCTGTAAAACAGGGACAATAGCACCTCCTTTCTCTCACCTTTTGCCAGTTTTATCTATGTTAGGGTTACCATTCGTCCGGATTTATCCGGACATGTCCTCCTTTTTGTGTTAAAAATAGCGTCT